TCTGGCAGAATCTCGTTGAAGTTCCTCTAGCAGTGCAGAGGAGAGCTGAGTCTTCCCTGGTAAGTGAATGAGCTGATTGTATTGCAGGACAATTTCTACTTGATCTTCTTCCAAATGTGCAAAGCCATAAGTGGTTGCATTTGTATAAAACAGTTGTCAAAGAGATCAAAACTGGGAGCTCTGCATTAAGCATCTGAGTCCTAGTATTTGTGCAAAGCCAGAAGTTGCATAAGCACCAGCTTCCATCCTGCTTAAATCTGCTTTGTGCCACAAAATGGGGCCACGAGAGCCAGGAGAAAATTTAACCTCTGTTCAGAAGGGCTCAACATCGGCTGGCAGTTCCCCAGACAAAGGAAGGGAGGACAAAGAAAGCACACCAAATAAAGGAGGTGGCACAGGTCAGTGTTCAGACCTACGTTAGCATCCAGCCCTCTTGTGCAGAGGTGCAAAAGTGAGATGAGAATCCAGGCCCTTGCAGGTGGTGAGTTCATTGCCGACGCCAAATTCATTTAGTTGTGGAGGCATGTGACGGGGAGAGGTAACCAATAGCACTTCATGGGACAATCTTGAACCTCAGCACCATGAAATGCCCGTAGTACAGCTTCCCTGCGGAGTTATACTGCCATAAGAGAGGAACGTTGGCCTCACTCGTTGATGATTGGAGCTAATGAAGTCTCCTTTTCCTAATCGACTCAAGGACTATTTCTGTGACTGACTGACTGTAACTATCCCAAGACTGTTCCTGTGGTTTTCCGAAGGCTACACCTCGCAGCTGTATCATTGAGAGACCATCTACAGCACTCTGGGATGGCTTTATCACTTCCACCAGCTTGTGACTAGGTAACACTGTTTGCAAGGCCGGCAGATGGCAATCTCTGTATTCATTTGCTCTTATGTATAACTCTTCTATCGCAGTATATATAACACTAGTTGCATCAGTCAGTTTGGGGTAGAACTTGTGTCAGTCCTGGCCAGAAGATGTTTTGTTCTCCCTGGCTGACGTTTCCATTCCAGATGTCAACCAGATGTAGAACAAGAGATGGGTCTATGTGAGAGCCTTCCTCGCTCCAGGAAGCTCTGTAAACTGGACAAGGAGAGGTGCTAAACTCAAGGCAAGCTCGAGCACAGGCCAATAATAACACCCAGACATCGGAATTTCACTGCGTCTCAAACATAGCCTGAACCTTTTGAGCCGGAACCCTGTCAGTACTCAGGAGGCTCAACCTCGGTTTAAAACATTTAATTTTAAAGTTTGAAATATTTATTTTTAAGGGCCGAAGTATCACATTGCATCACCAGTTTCTAAGCAACATTCCTGGGGACTCCACAGAAAAATGGATATTTAAAAAGTGAAGACTCAAACGAAGCCACCCTATTTATCAAAAGCGCCTTTCTATTTCAGGAGCTTGATCTGACTAACCAGGCACTGCTCTTTTTATTATGGGTCACCGCTTTTGCAAGCCTCCCTGTACTGACTCCTTTTTCTGCTTACATACAGGGGGCTGCAGCTCAGTTCCCCTGTTTACACTATTAGCTGTTATTTCTCCAGCTGCTGGCTGGGTTACGACCCGAGTCAGATCACTAATAATAGCCTCCTCCCCTCTCAGGAAAGCGAGGAGACAGACGGGTTCAAGAAACCTGTCCCTTCTAAGAGCATCAACAATGTCTGGCTTCACAAGATTCAGGCTCTGGTGCTCTCTACTCTAATAACCCCCCACTGGCAGCAGCAGGGGAACCTACACCTGCTTCGCTGGCTCTCAGCTCCCCAAGCACTATACAAAGCAGCTGATGCCAGTTTTCCCAAGCCCCTTGTCTCCTTTCACCTTCCATGTAATCAGTTTGTCTGCCGTTCTCTGGAGGATTGCCTGGGAGCCTACTGAAAAAGAAAGTTCTTCCCGCTCACGCGTCTGGTTGTCTCCTTCCTTCTGCTGCCTTATTTCTCTAGGTTATGTAGGACTGAGAAAGAATCCTAGTTCAGGAGGCAGCTCACTTTCCATTTCATTCCTTAGCAGCTGAAATAATGTAGCTGTGCACACAACCCTTGACACATTTGATGTATATATATTTTTAATTCTGATACCTAAAGCAGAGCGTAGAAAGACTCACAGTACCGTCAACATTAAACAGATAAATATTTTCCCTTTGTGGACGTAGCATTAACTTTCAGTTCCTTATTGAAACCACTCTGAGGGCTACAGCATCTGTACATTGCATTTCAGCTTTCTCAAATTGCTCATGTCAGCCCGGTGGGCTAGAGAACTCATTTCCATAAGCCCACAGAGAGCTGCACTCTTCAGGAGTGGATGCCTTTTTGATCTCAAATTTCCTACATAGATGTATCCATAGGGATCTCATTCCGTCCTTTTGCCATGACTTCCAGTTCAGCCAAGAATGTCTCTTAGAGGCTTGATTTGAAGGCAGTAGAAAAGGCAGCAGAAAACCACCACATTCTTGGGGAAATTATCCCGGAGGTTAACGGAGATCATTATTTAAAAATTGTAAGTAATTGCAATTACTTCAAGTGTGCATTTGTCAGGATTTAATTCCTAATCGTTGGATATCCTTCTGCCTTCCTCTGCTGGATTAAAAAATGATTTACTTTCAGAAGTTTCTTTCCTGTGTATGCATGAGAAGATCATGACCAAGGCGTGGCTGTGCTTTCCACATAGTTATTTTCCCAGCCCCATTTCAATGGGATAATATCCAAATTATCAGCTCACTTCTTGAACCCTTTGCGATCCTTTTGAAAAGCTTGATGTGCGTGGCAGAAACCTCCTCATTGCTACCAGGTATGACTTCCTAACTTTTCATTGACATGCTGGCAGACTTTCTCCTTGACGCAATATACCACTAAAAGCTTATTTCCAGTGGCTTCTACGCTGTGATGTTTAAGTCCCCTTACAGAATAGCTGAGTTCTAGGATATTGTTTTTTATCTTATGCATGTTTTGTGCATTTTTTTTTGTTTTGTGCTGTATGACCTTGCATTGGCACTTTAAAATATATGTCTCTTTACCGGAAGTCCCATGTTGTTCTGTATAAATTACTTTCTGAAAAATTCTGATGCTGAGCATTTCCAGCAGTCATTTCAAGTTTATTCCTCACCTCAGATAAAGATACTAAGAAGCATCAACCTTGGAAATAATCCCTGTGGCTCCCTGTCATGTCATGGGCTAGTCTCTCTCTACAGCTGCCTTACAATCCATCATCTTCACTGATCTGCCACCCTTCAATACATTTTAAGACAGATTCATGCTACTTTTTTTTTAATCAGGTTGGCAGAGCAAAGCAAATTCTCACAGAAAGTCTTTAGTGTATCTATAATTGGACAGAATAGACAGTAGAGATAATAAGGAAATCTGTTTCTTTCCTTTGTTGTCATGTATTGAGTGTGTTTTTCTTGGCTTCATTACACTTATGCAGACAAACGATGTTTTGCTTCTGTGTGGTTTCAAACTATCACCAACAAGAAAAATGAGGTAATTTAGTTTAAAAAAGAAAAAAAACAAAACCCACATTAAATACCTGCCTTCAGCTTTGCAGGGTCACTTTTTTCAATGTTTGTAATAAAACTGGAGGAACCATTTAAATAAAAACATCATTTTGAATTTTATTTTCTTTAAAATGCCACATTGAAAAGTGTAATGTTTAGAGACTTTTTTTTTTTTCTTGTCAAGATTAATAAACCAGCAGACCTGCCACTAATTCAAGTGGAAAATGTTACCTACCCTTGCTCCACAGAGCTCCAGTTTTGTGGTCCTCGTGAGAGGTACGATCCCCTCACTTCCCTGCTGATGCAGGATATGATATTCTGGGAGGGCCTGTGCAGTTTTGCACTCATGTTAATGCAAGCACAGGCCTTCAGCATCCTCCCCTACCTCCAGGGCAAACCACTGGCCACAGAATGCAAACTGTGGACACATTATTAGCCAAAACCACTACTAATGTTTATCAGTGCACTGGACAACTTTTAAAGTAAAACTGAAGCACGTTAGCAAAGAGAGAAAGAAAAGAAAGTTTTTTATCCTTGAACTACTAATTTCAAGAGAAGTAGAAGGTGTGCCTTCCCCACCTCCTCTACTCCCAAGATCACTGAGGTCAAATCCAGTATGTTATCACGGAAATGTAACAGCATATCTGTAAACAAGCGAAATCTTGGAAAACAGTAAAAGCAGTATTAAGGTCTTGGATGTTTTTAGGTGTTACCCATCAACTACAATTAAGCGGTGTTTCACACTGAAGGTGCATGACATACTGAAGCTGGTGTGAAACAGCTACAGGCCAGGTGCTGGCAGCATAGCTGTGCCCGTTTACGTCAGCTTAATAGAGTGGTGTCATTGACACCATGAAGGGAGAGCAAAGGACATTACCCTGTCTTTACCCATGTCTCTTTAGGTATTTTTGCACCTTTTCTGTTTGTTTTTTTCACTGCTAGTGGACATTCATGGGAAATACATGTAGCTCTAATTTTAATACAATAACAAAGTAAACATTCTGATATCCTTAAAACCTACAAATTAACAACCATCCATGCGCATATGATGCTTGCAGAAAAGACTACACCAACCTACGTGAGGACCTGAAAGAGAAATTGGTTGGAGAGTATGGAGAAATTGGATTTCACTGGAGTACTCCCAGAAACAAACAAACAAACAAACAAGGAAAGGGGGAACAGGAGGCAGAAATAATGGGGTTAAAAAACAATAATGCTTAAACACCAAAGCTATTGTTGACTCCGAAGGGGAAATGCACTTCTCACAGGACTAATTTTTATGCAGACTGTGTCAGTTTAATGGGAGGAAAGAGAAGCCGAGGTTGTGGAATGCCAGGAAGCTGGGACGCGTGGAGGAAAGAGTTAAAGCTGGAGGCACCCTCTCTGAAGTGCTCTGTGATGCTGTGCAGTGTTTCAGCCCCCAGAGCCTTCCTCCTCCTCCCTCCCTGTGTCGGAGTGGGGAGGAGGCGGGTTCTGCTGAGCTGTTAAATCCTGAGTGAAGTTTCCCCCATTTCCAGTGGCCACCGTTGTCTGAGGCTGGTTGGGAGCGGGGCTGGGGTTACCCTGACATTTCTGGGACGGCGGCCAGCCAAGAAGGGAAAGAGAAGAAAAGACGAGCCTTTTACAATTTGCTTTTGTCGAAGTGCGGAGAAAGGGGAAAGGGAAGCGTCCTTTCTTTTTTCTTTTTTTTTTTTTCAGCATCACATTCCTGTGTTTTTCCTCAGCCTGGAAAATATATTAATGCTGGTGCTTTACTCTCTGGAAACAAAGGAGCTAAACGGGACCGAGGAAGCAAGAAGTGGGAAGGAGGCTTGGGAGGTTTAAAGGAGAGAGACTCGGAGCAGCTGGGATCTCCCTTTTCTTAAATGAAATCCCTGTCTGTGCGGGTAACTGGTAGAGCAAAAAGCCAGACCTGCAGGTAAATGGAGAAGCAGAGATCCCAAAGGAAATTTCCGCTAACCTCATCCCGCTTGTCAAGAAGGTGAAGAAGAAAGAAAGCTGAAAGAGACACGGGGAGACAGACAGGCTCTGGGACCTGTTGGGCTGCGTAAGGATAAACCACAGGGCAGCAGCAAAGCTGTATGGCATTGATCTCCTTTTAAAGGAAAAAGACGCGAAACCTTGTCGCTGGAAGGGGAATTTCCCTGAGAGTGTAAGTCTCAAGTCAAGTTCTTGGCTTTCTGCTCTATGTACCAAACCCTCTCTCTGTGTGTGTTTGCATGTGTGTAAGTGAAAGTGTGAGAGAGAGAGAGAGAAGGATGCAGATCAGTGTCCTTTTGGACAGAGTCATGTTACAGACAGATGATCTCATTTTTGCATAAAATGATCCGGTTTGTGCTTTTCCAAAAATAACTGTAAACTGTACAAAGCCACCAGGGCAGGACTGAGGTGCAGTCAGTGCTTTTAAATCACAAAAACCAGTCAGCCTGTGCTTTGCTTTTTTTAATCACTTGCGCAAGATATCATCATACTATTAACATCTAACTTTATTCTCTTTCTCCTCCTCCCTTCCAGCAGATTGCACAATGAACTGGAGGCCAGCTCTCAGCTTAGCCCTGCTATGGGCAGCGTGGCTAGTGTGTGGCTCTGAGAAGACGGGGAAGCTAGCAGAGAGAGGGAGCCATGGTGTCAGGAAAGTGCCCCTGGCTTACAGGGCTCCAAGCAGCCTCCTCAGAAGGTCTGGAGCATCCCTGAGGAATTCGAATCCCCAACACCCCGTCACCAAGAGGGATTCTTCAGCACCTCCAAAGGCACCTGCCAATCTCCTGCACGGGGAAGCACGTTCCCAGGCCAGGGGCGTGGGGACCAGAATGAGACGGGTACAGAGACTCACAGCTGCAGCCAAATACTCCAAGTCTGAGATGATTAAGGACGAAGGGATATCCCCTGCCTCCCAGTCACGACTGGGACGTTTCTCTTCAGGGCCAAGCTCTCCCAATGTCCTGGCCAGCTTTGCTGGGAAAAATCGTGTGTGGGTCATTTCTGCCCCCCACGCCTCTGAGGGCTATTACCGGCTCATGATGAGCCTGCTGAAAAACGACGTTTACTGCGAACTGGCTGAGAGGCACATCCAGCAGATTGTGTTGTTCCATGAAGAAGGGGAAGAAGGGGGAAAAGTCAGAAGGATAACCAATGAAGGAAAAATCCTGGAGCAGCCGCTAGATCCTGCCCTCATACCTAAGCTCATGAGCTTTCTGAAACTAGAGAAGGGGAAATTTGGCATGGTGCTGTTGAAGAAAACTCTGCAGGTGGAGGAAAGGTATCCTTATCCAGTCAGGCTAGAGGCCATGTATGAAGTTATTGATCAAAGCCCGATCAGAAAAATTGAGAAAATGAGGCAGAAGGGCTTCATCCAGACTTGCAAAGCAGCTGGGGTGGAGGGACAAGTGGTTGAGGAAGGCAATAACGGGGGCAGCACCCAGCCTACCCCTAGTGGTGGACATGTCCAGGTGTCAACAAGAAAGGAGGAGCCAAGGAGGAGCAATAACCAGCCAACAAGGACCAAAACAGTGAGGAAACCAATGACAACCACCGTGGCTACTCCTCTGCCTACAGTAAGGACCACGACCCTCCCTCCCACCACCACAACTACCCGTGCCACCACCCGCGCAGTGACAACAGCAAGCCGGTCTACGACAACAACTACACCCCTCCCCACCACGCAGAGGACTTGGACCACAAAGTCGCATTCTACCACAGAGTACCACAGGCTGCCAGTAGCCCCCGATGTCACCACGCCACGAGTCACAGCCTCTGAGGATTTCTACTCTCCTGTGTGGAAGGGAAACCGCAGGGACCGGCAGCGCGGCCACTCAGAGAAACACCCAGTGGCCACACGGAAACCAAGCAAAGCTGCCCGCTATGACAGTTTCACAGAAGTCCCAACAGCTCCCTCAGTGCACTACACGAAGGCAAATGTGGGTAGATTTAAAGATAACAGAACAGATAGAAAGGAGTATAACCACAGGGACCTGAATGTCACACCAGGGCAACACAAACCAACTAAGACTAAACCACCAAAAAAGAAGGCCCAAGAAAAGATACTGAGCAATGAATATGAAGATAAATATGACCCGAGCAAGCCTGCTAGTTCTCATTTAGAGGAAGAGATTGCAGCAGGAAATATTCCCCCCAAAAAAGGAAAAGAATCAAAGAAGCATGAGCGAATGGATAAACCCGAGAAGAAGAAGAAGAAGGACAGACCTGACAAGCTTCAGAAGAGTGAGAAGCAGTCCAAGAAGGACAAAGCTGACAAAAAGAGCAAGCAGGACAAAGATCGTAGCAAGAAGAACAAGAAGGGGAGCAGGACTGAGAATGAGGATTTCCCCAAGCCCAACAAGAAGCCTTTCCCACAGCCTCCCAGGAAGTCAGTGACCGATCTCCTGGAATATTTTGAAGGCAAAAGGCGGCTCATTGTAAGTAACTCATTCATCTGAATCTTATTTAATATATTAAGTCCAATCTCCCTCTTAGTAAGAACATGTAGAACAAAAAGTTTATAGTTGTTTTGCGTTATTCTTTGTTGGTGCTTTTTTTTTAAGAGGTAAAATTTCTAGACCCAAACAATCACTTCCAACAGGGAAGGATTCACAGCCTCATGTTGGAAATCTTACATGTAGTATGAACATCAGTCAGCCAGGAATCAGGTTTAAACCTCTTCCCAACCCCTTCCATGCACCACCATACAGCCATCAGATTATTTTGTTTCCAGTGGATAGGTAAGTGCCATGATCTGTATAGATATGATCAATAAAATGAAGTTCCAGTGTGGATTACACCTCTTCATCACTTTAGGGTACTTGCCAATGTTACCACATTTCGATGCTCAGCGTGTCCTGCCAGCTGGCACACCTGTTTTATATTGCTGCTGGTGTCCTAAAACTGGAAGCAAGCCAGGTGGCTTGGCAGCACTGCTGCATGTCTGACTGAGGATATGCACAAAGGCGTATGATCAGATGCCCTGAGGTGGGATTGTTACATTTGCTATTCTTTCTGATGGGAATTTGGCATTCAAATCTCCGAGACATCTTCTGAGATCCCGTGCAAACTTTATTTTGTTTTGGGTTTTTCCCCTGCTGTTTTTATTAAACTATAACACTATGGGAAGTTTTCAAGTCTGAGAAACTCAGCATGGTCTGGAGTTACTTGTCCCAGGGTTTAATAGTGTTGTATGTTTTTCCAACTACTTATCTGAAAAAACACTTCACCTGGGACAGGAAACAGTTTTAGCTGTAGTACAAATGTTTTTTCTGGCAGATGGCACATACTCTGCAAGGTACACTTTGAAAAACAGTTCTTTAAAAATATTATTGTGGGAGCTGGTTTCTTCCAATTATTCCACCGCAAGCTGGCCTGTTTCACAGTTATTGTCCAATAGTCAGTGTCACAAACATAGCTTTGACTTTCCAATAGCAATAGCTAAGATGCCAAACTAAGTTTTCAACCATTGGAATTTAATAATCAACCACTGGAATTTAATAATCATTCTGCTAGCGATTCACAGACCTGAGCAGAAGCTGGCTTTCTTCTCCCCCTGCCTGTTCTTCCAGCTCTAGGGGCTGTGCAGAGCTAGCAGACTTGCATTCCACAACATGATGGAAATGGAGAAGAGACATATAGTTGAAAATTTTGAACTTGATTGAATTTTGCAAAAAAATGCCCATCACTTACTTGTTAACTAACAGTTAACTAAATCAAAAGTTCAGAGAGAGAAAATGCACACAAGTTTGGGATCTTTGAAACTCGGTCGTGTATCTCAATGTTGAGGGTTTCTAAGTATGTGCAGTATCAGGACAAATAAAAACAAATTTGAAAAAAGAGCCAAAAGCAGAGCTCACAGATGTCAGACTGCGAATTCATGACACCAACACAGTCCCAGCAACTTAAAGGCTCGTCTGAAATTCGAACCTTCTGATAGTAGGCCACCTATCAGCTGCACCTCCAAGAGGAAGAGTTGAACAATCTCAGGCTGTCAGGCCAAAACTCACTGAAGACAAATGATTATGCCATGCTGCAATTCACTTTTCCAGTATCTAATGCCATCCTCAGCCTGCTTGTTCTGAGGTTTGTTGGAGAATAGGTTTGATTTGGTCATCAGTAGAAGCAGTGGCTGAACTCTGTCTCTTTGCTACGCAGGGCACGTGTGGAAAACAAACTTCTCAAGCTGCTTTGAATCCACACACATGCCTATTTGCATCCCTTCCTATCAAACTCTTCAGCTCCCTTAGGGTCAGTCTTTCCAGCTAGATGAGCTCAGCCGTTCAAGTCAACCGTTCAAGTCTTCAAACTCCCTCTCTGGAGAATTTGCCCACACTGCTGCAGAAGTGGCCCTACCTGAGTTATTCCCCATTGCTTTGCTATACTTTTGTCTTTCAGCAGCTTTAATAGACTGCCTCCCAGGGACGTTGTTTCAGTCCTCTCATAGAATCATAGGAAGGTTAGAGTTGGAAGGGACCTTAAAGATCATCGAGTTCCAACCCCCCTGCCATGGGCAGGGACACCTCCCACTAGAGCAGGTTGCTCAAAGCCCCATCCAGCCTGGCCTTAAACACTTCCAGGGATGAGGCATCCACAATTTCCCTGGGCAACCTGTTCTAGTGCTTCACCACCCTCACAGTAAATAATTTCTTTCCGGTATCTAATCTAAATCTCCCCTCTTCCAATTTAAAACCATTACCCCTTGTCCTGTCACTACACTTCCTGACAAAGAGTCCCTCTCCGGCTCTCCTGTAGGCTCCCTTCAAATATTGGAAGGCTGCTATAAAGGCTGCTACACTCTCCCAAAAGTCTTTTGAGGGAGATATGGGTTTTTAAGTCCTGTACATCATTAAATATTTCAGAACGCAGACTTCAGTGTGAATTTCAAACATCCAGGATTCTGAAGGCCATTCTGGGTTAAGTTCAATTAATGACAACTCCAGGACCCAGCTGCAGAAACTGAAAAAATGTGCGGATTTTGAGTTCTGCAGCCCCACCTCTCTATAGTTGGGCTTTTATTCCAGTCTTACTAATGTTGAAAAGTCTTGGCTCAGCGAGTTTAGGTTTTTGTTTATTTCTCTGTGGTGATGAAATGCAGACTGACAGTTTATATATAACACTCCATTTATACCCACACACACGTATATGCACATGCACATACACACATGTGTATGCAAAATACATACAAGTGTACTGCCTGGGTCAAACCAGTCCTAGCACAAAGCTTTGATTTGAAGTTTGCTTTGCCTCTGAAATGTTCCCTGCTTTGTTCTACAAGGTTTAATCAAGTAGATGAAATTCAGACTTAACTGTGCATTCCTGTTTACAGCCTCTGAAGCTAGGAGGACACTACAAACCAATGATCTGGTTTTGATCTGAGTCTTCAAATCCTTTTTGTGATCCTTTTTTTCATTTGGAGCATTTCTATGCAATTTAAAAGCATGTTACATGTTGTGGCCCAGAAATCAAATCCTCTTTGTGTCTGATTCTCATCCACCTTCATGTCCCAGTGCTGTAGTCATGCCAGGGGGCCTTTGCAGAAATGAGAGTCAGATCTTATAAGCCCAGAAATGCCTCTTACATTTCAGTACATTGATGAACTGGATTTATAAGGAGTATATCATAAAAATTAGCCTCCAGGCCCTACAAAGTTAAGAAGGCAGCTAGAAGATGATTGCACCTGTTGCTGACTAAAGCGTAAGTTTGCAATTGAAGGATTCTGGTGATTATTTATGACTTTAAACCATAAAATTTGGATCCAGATTCCAACTCCTTTTGTTTTTTGGGGATCAGTGGCAGGTGCTTGCTTACATTGCTGGAGCTGCAGTGGTCCTCTCCACCTTCTGCTGGAAACGGTTGCACGGGACCACTGCAGGTTGTTACACACATACCTTCCCTGGGACATTTGCATCTCAGTCATTGATGAAGGATCTGAGTTGTGTGCTTTAAACTTTTTAAAAGTTGAATCTTTGCAATTTTTAGGAGGCCTTGAAGTAAGTACTATAAGCTATAGAGATTTTTATGCTTTTGTTGCTGCAACTGTTGTTCCTCCTCCTCCTCTAGCCATGCCCTCTCAGCGAATAGAAGTCCCGAAAGACATCAGAATGGCTTAGAACAAACAAAAGCTAAATCAGCAGTTTTCAGATGAGGTTACTGTCTCCTTAGCAAGTCTTCAAGGTCTTCTTATATGGCCATCATTTACATAAGTATTCATGTAGCCCTAGTTGTACTCAGTCCTTAACAGTCAGACACCGGGGGTCCTACCTAGACCACGGGATGAGGCCAGAGTGGCTGCCATGTTCCTGGTGCTCCCACTGTGAGTGATTAGGGGGAATCCTAGATTCATGACACCACTGAAGCTGTGAGGGAGACCTGGCAGGACTGTCAGGGCAAGAGATAATAGGAGGGTACATGGTTTTCTGTAAAATCCAGTGCCATTTCTTCAGTCAGCACTGTGGAGGGGTGGTGGAGGAGCTGGTGCCACCAGCTGGCCATGTTTCCTAAGGTTTTCCTGTGGCTGGCTCAACACCTCTGGGCCAGGCCTGGGCCTAAATATACAGTCCAAAACAAATAAGATGATGCTACAGAGCTGTCAACAGGTTTACGGAAAATTAGTCCCAGTTTTGCAGAGAGTGACTAATTCTCCTTCAGTAAAATACTTATCTGCTTCCTTCCTTATACTAAACAAGCTCTTTTGTCTTTGCCACCAACCAGCTGATCACGACACCCAAGGCAGACAACACCATGTATGTACAGCAGCGAGACGAATATCTGGAAAGCTTCTGCAAGATGGCAACGAGGAAGATCTCAGTCATTACAATTTTTGGCACCATGAACAACAGCAGCATGAAAATTGACCACTTCCAGCTAGGTTCTTTTTTTTAAATCATTTTTTTTCAGTCTCGTGGGCACAATACAGACAGCAAAGGGAGAAATCTCCCCAGCTTGGGTCAAAATCTAAGCAAGATCATTTGTTGTGGTCCAGTTGCACTTTCGAACCCATTCCCCCTCCTTCCATGCCAGCTGCACCCCTTTTGTATTTACAGAAGTGTCTCTGGTATTTTCCACATTTAGGCTTCCAGAGCTGTAACTTGAGCACCTTCAGCTTTCTTTGTGGGAATTCTTAAAGCCAGTAAAACAATGAAACAGTGAAAAGGCAGAAAAATGTGATGAGGGCATGGAACAGAAAGAGAAAATTAGGCTCAGCTCTACCAATATCTTGAATACCAACCTCACTGTCTAACTAAATGGCTGCCCTAATATAATGTCCTCCCCGCCTTGGTTTCTGCAGGACATCAGCCATAGATGGCTAGATATTGGCTAGCACAATTTAAACACTGCTTAAAGAAACTGAGGGGGCAGAAATGCTGAAGAGAACTGTTTGAGATTATAGTCAAAACTTGGCCCAAGTTAATCCTATTTTGAAGTTCAGTATCATTATCTCCCCACTCTGCCACATAAGATTTTCTCATGCCTTTGCACTCCTCGTGAGGTCATGGAAAAAGCTTCATTTTTCAGAGGCATGCACTGGCAAAACCCAGGACAGAGAGAACCGTGCTAGTTAGACCCCTTGCTGCAAGTTCGTTTCCTTCCCAGGATCAGCTTTCCCAGGGCTAAGAGCTGATTTCACTATATTCACGGAGTATTCTCCTCCATGGTAAGGGGAGATCCAGGTGCATTTTCCTCTCTGTACTTACGAAGAGATATTAATTTAGAGTATTTCAACCATAGCATCTAGGTATGGCCAACCTTACAAATTTGCACCAGCCTACCTTATATTTAAAGGTTTACCATTTGAAGTCCTGTCATCTCTCTTTACCCATAGAGAAAGATACCCACCAGTGTGAGTGCTTATTGCTGGCTATTATAAAGAGGTTCATCTCACTGAAGCCAGAGATTTTAGAGGCACTATAAATCAGACTATGAAGGACTTGAAAAGTAGCTCATTAAGCCATAATTAGTACCACCTTCTTCACATACAGATTTCCTATATAGATGGGTGACACTGGGCATCCATCTCTCTTAGGCAGCTTTGAAACAACTGGTGTCAGTGTTCAGGTCCTGGGGAAGCACCCACCAAAGCCAGTGAGAATCTTTCCTTTCATAACAGCAGGGTTTGGACAAAGACTTCAGGTCCCAGTCCAGCAAAGCACTTAAGTTTAGTGTCTCTTGAATTGTATAAATAATCTCATTGCTGTCTGCGGCTAAAGGCTAATGCCACTGTGAATGCTTTGCTGGACAAAGGCAAAGAAATAGTATAAAAAGCTGTTAGTTTTGCTTATAAGTCCACCACATCTTTCCTCTGGAAGTTCATCTGGTTCTACCAGACCTTGGGAAGAGATGTGTGATGGAACAGAAAATTCAGGACCACACCAGGGTATTTCAGGTCTGGCATACAACAGGCCAGAAGATCACAGATTTATGTCTGGCTTCTAGCCATGCCTCTACTACACTCAGAGGGAGAGGACCCAGTGGGGAACCAGGAGCTTTGTGTCCCTGAATGACAGTGAGTCACAGATCCCACCAGACTGTCCATTTGTTCATTTCCTTGACAAATCTGGAGTGGTACAGGATTTTCCACATCAGGCCAAGGTTACTCAAGGTCACTTTTTGTGTACCTAGACCCATCTGCCTGTCAGTGGACTGTTTAGGATTATATTTAGCTCCAGTCTGGCTAATAAACAGACATTCATTCTGACATAGACCATACTCTTTCAGCCTGTTCCAAACTTAACCTACACCCAAACTTTCCCCAAACCACACAAGCGTATATAATAGCTGAATTCTCACAGGAGGAATTAATTTGTTGAAGAAAAACATGAGACTTAGAAGGGTGTAAGTTAAACCTGACAAAATGTTCACCTTAGATTTTTGCCCAAAACACCAAAGCCTGAGCTTTTCAAAAAGCTTAAATAATGCAAATATCTTTCTGTGTCTTTCTCCTGTACCTTTCCTGTTTGCATGGCCTCTGCATGTCTCACTCTCTGTCAGCACTAGAGGCAGCAAAAATTTGTGCTGTAGTGAGAAGCCCAGCATGATGAGGTCTACTTGTAGTGCTGCATCTTGGGACTGAGATGCAAATGACACCAACAGAAAAGTCCACAGAAAAGACTTCTCACTTGAAATTTCAAACACATTTAGAAGTAGTGAATGCAAGAGAGCTCATTAACACTGTTTGGCCAAGATCAGCTCACACTGAAACCAAAGAGCGTTTCCCCGTTTCCCACTGGAATGATACTCTGAGTCATCCATGTGGTCTCTTTTCCCCACCTCATGGGAACAGGGCTTTAGTCAGCTAAACACCAGCCCCAGGCTACCTACCTGACAATCAAAGCCAATACCTAATCTATTAGGCCACTGTAGTGCTACAACAAACTGCTGAACTTTGCAACCTCAATTGAATTATTTTTAATAACTCGTCTTCCCAGACTGTCTAGCTGCTAAAGATGCATGGAGAAAGGTTTCCGTACTCTTTCAGTGACCTTTCTGCAAAAAGCAAAGAGAGTGAGTCTGGGACTTCCCCGTGCCTGCTGGTGACGTGACCGTCATCCTGGGAGCTTGATATGTTTTTTTATATATTGTATCTATTTCATTGTTTTCTTCTTTTTGATTTTAATATTAATTCTTCATTGAAGTAGTTTAGTTCATTCTAAACTTCTAAATCTCCTTATCTCTTCCTCTCCTCTCTTTTTTTGAAGGGGCAAGGGCCATCTGTCAGTCTGGTCTTGGTAAATTCGGCCAAAACCATGATAAAATCACTTCCAAGTTTGAAAGGCAGCCCAGTCTTTGTGGCATTAATTTTTTTTCTCCCTGAAACATTTTTCTGTATCACTCTTGTCATCTAATTTTCTTCTTTAAGTTGCGAGTTTTGAAAGAAAATCTCTTAACAATGAAACTGTAAAATGCTATCTTAATGTTAATATCTACAGTCTTTAAAGCAGAAGAATGCCATGGGTCAGTTGGTCTAAGGTACTACGCCATACAGCTGTTTTCCATCACATGTCACACTAACACCTTTTGCATTATTCTACCTCCATATAGGCCAATGAGGTCTATGCTTTTGTAGGGAATTGTTTGCAGACGTTACTTAATAATTTTTTGGTCTATGTTTAAATGCTCATGTTTGCCATTAGTAACATTAAATCAAGCATTGATGCATGATTTACAGACGTTTTACAAAGTGAATAACCAATTAGCCCATCCAGGAACCCATCCAATAGAGAATTCATAACATTGACTATAATTCTTTGCAAAGCTTTCAACTGAGGTCCATATAACCATGCAAAACCATACATATTATGTCTATAGCTTGATTACTAGAACTAAATTTTAACATTTGCTGGTTTGGTTATTTTTCTGTAAGAAGAGGGTCCAAGATGTGAAACCTGAGGATCAGGTTCTGATTCAGACATTTTCCCAAAGTTTTAATTCAGAAGTTTTATTCAGTCTATTACACAGATTGGACCTACTGCAAAATTTGAATCAGATCAGTATGTTCCTTAAAACCTATGGATATTGAGAAAATTATTTAAAAAGCCTTATTGTATAATGACTCAAATCTTTTCTGTTGCTGTGTGCTCAACTTGGATCAATTAATCTCATCTTTATTTGCTGGTGAATAACAGTGGAGCAGGGGACAGGGAAGTTGTAACTCTGGATTCTAGCTCTTGATTGGCTATTTCAACTCTGACTTAAGCTGTCACTTAAGCTGTGGCTGGGATTTCTAAGCGAGGGTATGAATATTTATATTCATAGTGGTGTCATAGGATATAAGCTGGTAACATTTGCAGAGAACGCTCTGGGGTCCAGGTAACATTTTACTTTGTGTGTGAAGCCTGTCTTTAGCTTTCCAGGCCCACAGTTGCACAGAGAGGGCTGTTCCAGCATTGTCGCAGTTGTACAGGGCTGTGCTGGATGCTACAGCTGAGGCTGAGCTGATGACAAGGAGGCTTTCTGGACCTGGTCCTAATACACCCTGGTTCCAGGGGAAGTAAGGAACCCCAGTACCTCCACAGGCTGTCTTGGACATGCTTCAAATCTCTGTCTTCAGAGGTTTTTTCCTCCTCAAGCACATCTGAATATTTTCTTAGGGTAGAGCAGAGAGTAGGTACAAATCATTCTCAAAATTAAGGTTTTTCCTGGCATGGTACTAGAATGGGAAATGAACACCAGCAAGCAGATGGAGAAAGAGTGCCACAGCAGGGTATTAGAGAGACCTGAAGAGCTAGGACTGAAGTATTCAAGCCACATTAAACAGTTTCTGGTTTCTTGTAGTCACTAAACCTGCCATATAACTTTCTAAGACTGGAAAGGTTAACTCTAGTGTCATGGTCAACCTTAAGCTGTTCTAGCTATACTTCACTGACTCAAATTCTCTGTTTCATTTGGATATAGTGTTTTTCAGCTCCTGTTGAACAGTTTCTATTTTCTATTCCAGAAGTGGCTGCATTTCAGCTGGTGAAATTCTTAGTACAGGCATATACATGTATAAGCATATTGAAAAAATCCAAAAGATCTTTCCAAGAAAAAGCAGGCAACCAAGATTTTTCAAAAGTAGAAATGTTGACTACTGAAGTGCATGTGCCCTATGACAGACTGATTTTCAAAAAATACTGGGACTGAAAACTGGACAACTAAAAGTCATAGTGCCATCCTGATGCTTTTTAATATCTTGCCTATGCAGCAGATAAAGGGCTTCTGGGAAATGAATTTCCCCTTTCTTTCAAGGTGAAATTAAAGGCAGAGTGTTGTGAGATTCCATGACTATTTTTATTTCTCCTTTGTCTCACATTAAGATAATGAAAAACCCATGAAAGTGATAGAGGATGAAGATCTTGTGGACCAGCAGCTCATCAGTGAGTTGAGGAAAGAGTATGGGATGACTTACAATGACTTCTTCATGGTGCTGACGGACACTGACATGAAGGTCAAGGTGAGGGCTTTAAATCTTTGAAATACAAGGCATTGGAAAAATCTTAGGGCACGCGAGGCATGTAAGAGACTGATGCAGAACTTGGTCATAGCTGGAGGACAGATAAAAGGGACAGTAAGATAAATTTCCAGGAATTAGGTAGCTATCTTCATTTTCTGCAGTTAGGGGATTTTGGGAATTGTGGGTTTCTGATGGGATGGAGAGCTGACACCACAGCAACAGAACACCCCCAGCAGCAGGGGTTTTAATGTAGTATCTGGCATTCTGAAACACAGAGTTTGGCCACTCAATGGGATGACAACACATTGCATATGGACAATGCTCTAGTTGAATGGCCTTACAAAAGAATATAATAACAATTTGTTGCCTGCAATGGCGTGGCCTTGTCACATTGAGAAAATACTGAAAATATGCCAGTTCCAAAGAGCAGTCTGACTGCAAAACCTATAATATTTTCCATGGTTTCTAATCTGTTTCAGGCCTTGTTATCCATGTGTAAACAGGAATACTTGAATCTCTATATATCCTACCTGCAGAAAGATTGCTAATACATGCATACTTTTATCCATCTGTTCTTTTTTGTAAACAGCAATACTATGAAGTACCCATAGCAATGAAGTCTGTGTTCGATTTGATTGACACCTTCCAATCACGAATTAAAGACATGGAAAGACAGAAAAAAGAGGGCATTGTCTGCAAAGAAGATAAGAAGCAATCCCTTGAGAGCTTCTTATCCAGGTAATACCTTCTGCTCTTATCTCCTGCTTGTTATTATAATTAACTCTCTTATTGGAAAAAATACCCATCCAACTATTTCTGTAATTATTTAATATAGATTTCTCAGTATTTACAGTCTTAAGCAAATAGAGAGATGTAGCCATAACTGCGTCCTATACAGAGCACTGGAAGTCAGGATGTGTGTTGTGTTTCCTGACTGACTGCACATTCTTTAGACGCCAACTTTCTGTACCTCAGTACCCCGATCACAACATGGAGATAATAACACAGATTTGCACTAGAAGAGCAAATAAGGCTTAATTCACAGATGCTAGCTCAGTGTTTTGAATGTATGATGCACAGTGTTTATGTGTTTCAATCATCAACCATCACAATCTCATTAATCCCATTCTAATCCCTTCCATGTAGTTCAAAACAGTAATTAATTCTCTCTAACTTCTTTATCCTGCTAGAGATAACAATTGGTCTTTGCCAGTATTAGTCATGCATATTATTAAAGGTCCTGCAGATGTCTCTTGCAAAATGCTTGAGAGACCTTCTGCAGAAAGACAGTTTTGTTTATGCAGTTTCTATATGCTGTATTACTGCTCTACCTGCAAGACCTAAATTCCAGGGAATAAACATGTCTGGACTGTGGGAACTCGGTTCCACAGAGGAGCTGTACTGCTATAGCCCTCTCTGTTATAGGATAATTAATATGAAATTAGGTTCACTCTAGGCTTTACCTGTTACTACTGTGTCCTCCTCACCTACTATCAGAATCCATGGGAATAAAGTTAATGCCAGATGGCTATAAAAATAACCAAGGCAGCATGATGGATTATGACTTGAGGGGGAAAGGAGCAACAACAGGTAATGAGTAGGCTGTTGGTTCATAAACATTTTAAAATTCGATGGCCACTTCAACAGAAAGAAAACCTTTAACAAGATCCACTCCACCCACCTCACCACCTCCTGTTTAGGTCTCAGTGATTCATCCTCAAGACCACCAAGAAGAACCTCAGTTTGGAAACAGCTGACCAACACAAGAAAGAGCTTGTATGCTGGAAAGTGACATGCCCCAAATCCTTCTTTGCTTGCAAACAGCCCTAGTAATAAACACACATTAGAAAAACAGGCAGGAAAAATGTCTAGTGGTGCATCTATAAACAGAACTGCCACTGCACAGAATGCATTTGTTATTTGTGAAACAAGCATCAGGCTTTAAATATTGGGTGGACTTCAATAGTCACATGAACTGGTCAGATTCCCAGCAAGATTCATTCCAGCTTTGTCCAAGATTATCTTCCCAGCTGAACAAGAGTCCTGGCATCATCTCCCTGGTGTTGCTCATTGGGGAGGTCAGTTAAAATAATGCAAATATTGTTCTTAGCAAGCCTGCCTGGCGTGCAAGGAGACCATGGGAACCAGAGTCAGCTTGAGTGAAGCTTAAAAGCCACATGTATCAGAAGATCCTTGAGTTTGGTGAGGGGAGTCCCCCTGCAAAGACTCTGGCTGTGCTGCACTCTGGGCTCGCAAACAAGAATGTGAAGTAGGTAGAAGAGGAAGAAAGGATGCACCTAGGGAAGAGTCTGGTACATTTGTCAGGACAGGAGCACTGGCCTGTGGCTTCTGATGTCAGAAATAAGGTATAAATCTGTACATTAGTGACAGTGAACTAACAGCTGTAAAGGACAAACTGAATTAATTTCTCAGTAAGATGTAGCCCCAGAGAAGCACACTAGGTATAGGGATTGCCTGGGGCAGGGGTATAAACAGCTTGAGTGGCTTTCAACCCTTTTCAGCTCTGTGCATCTCCAAAGGAGACACTCAAAACAACAGTAAGGAATTAGAGTATCTTGAAGCTGCTCACAGATAAGATACCATCCTGATTTATGCCCTAGATAAAATATGATCCAATGTTTACATTGTCAGTCACTGTTTATATGTAGCCAGGTGCTTTTGCAATACAAAATATCAGAACAGAATTGACCCATTACATTAGCCTTTATTTTGAGACCTTCACATGGTGCTGCAGAAAGGCAGGCTATTATAACAGAGTAACATCTGCATCCATTTAAAAGATCATTTCCTGCTATAAAAATATCCCTGCAGCTTTGCAAATTCTTTTAAATCTGATTTATTTAGGTTTAATGGAGAAGTACCTTTATTCAAAAAAGGGGTTGTTTGGGAGAGTATCAAAACCCCCCATAGTTAGAGTATTTAAAGGTTTCAAGTGTCCTTATAGCATTGCCTTTTTTTGAGAGGACAACAGAAGGTGCTCCTTGTGCAAAAGTTTGATTAGATGGGGTATCCTATATTACAGAAAAAATATCAAAGATTTATCTTATTGCCCCATGCATGCCTTAGATAGCCACAGGCTCACACAGCCACACACATACAAACAAACTCAGCTTTAGAGCCACGTTAAAGGTATTTTGAGCAAGTGTGGTAGAGAAGAAAAAGAGGTCAGTGAGTATTTACACAGAAGTATGAGTTATGTCTGAAATGAAGATACACCCTAATTCTCAGACAGCCGTTAGACTGCAAAATAACTGTGCAGTTCCAGCAGTGGTGAATGACGTAAGAGCTGAATGTCTAGTGAGGAATCCTACAGGAATCTTTCTTTCCCTTGAATATACACTTCTCAGCATTGTTGTAACTACTGAAGGGGCCTTTGAGCAAAGATCATAAGCTTTGCAGTGTTTGTTTGGTGAAGCAGCGAAACTGCAGATGTTTCTTTGAGAGTTCTCAAGTTGTAAAATTCAAAACAAGCTTTATCCTCTCCCAGTGATGGATAGAACTGGGAAGATCTCCCATCCAGCTGTTGCTTAGGTTATATCTCTCACAACTTCTATCTCAGCCTACACAGAACAAAAATGCTGAGATGACTTGAGCCATATGTCATGAACGTGCCCTGCTGCACTCTCTTCTCTTTCCAGGTTCCGATGGAGAAGGCGGCTGGTGGTGATCTCTGCTCCCAGCGATGAGGACTGGGCTTATTCCCAGCAGCTTGCTGCTCTCAGTGGACAAGCCTGCAATTTTGGTGAGTCAAAAGAAATTACACTCTTGCTCCCCAAAACCACATCCTTCCTGGTGATGTGATGGATTCCTTTGCTCAAGCCTGAACCTAGACAGTCTGAGGAGTCCAACAACTGAAAAGTTTGCCGTAGCTACTCCAAATACAAATGGAAAATACCGTGCTAAGCAGGTAGCACAGCACACCCTGACAGCTAAAAAAATTGTTCCCTGGAATCATTTCTGTGAGGCAGAAAAGCACTCCAAAGCTTCTCTTTGGGCTTGTACTTCAGGTGATCAATAGTATTTTCTTTTTCTTACTGCACAAATTAACAACATAAATAAAATCAAATTTTTAAAAAAATAACAACACAAAAAAATTCTTTGGAAAGGGCAGATCCTCTTACACCCAGCTCAGAACTGGGCCAGGTACCAGGGAGATGCATGGACATCAGGTTTGTTTTTTTCTTTATCTTCTTGCTTCATTGCCAAAAGCTGTAAAAATATTAATGGAAGCAGCTTTAACCCAATATGGACCCTCCCAGCCACTAACTAGATACTTAAGATCCAACTATATAGTCAGCAGAGAGAGACGGGCCCCTCTGGGAGGCAATTAAGAGCAAGACCCAGAAACACTCCTCTGTCTTGGGACTCTCTAACCTGGGTTCCTAAGCAATGCAAGTACTATACAGGGACTAGACCTGACTCCTACAACAGAATGAAATGGGTCCCATTCACTCAGTACATTTCAGTTATGCCTAAACTGTCTGTTTATTCATAATCACCTGGCTTTCATTCGGCATCATCTCATCTGGTAACTACCAAAGTCAGCTGTGACATGGACCACTGTAAAATGCTTTCTGAAGAATGGAATGTAAGCAAAACAGTTAATCCTCCCCACCCTTTGTTAGGGACAGCTTGAAGGAGATCCAGAGAGTTCTTAAAGCATTTGTCCTCCATGATTTCTTTTAACTAAGTGATGTGTTTCCAAGTATCTTACTTCCAAGTTGTAAAAACAGTTAGATCAAAGATTTTGTAGATCATACAGACTCATGTTACACAGTTTCTACAGCCCCTAAGGTCTTTCTTCAAAGCAGAGGCAACAGTTCAAACCTCTGCCCAGCACAAATGAGAGGAGTGAATGCCTGTCCTAAGCCATTCTCTGCAATCATTTGGAGTCTGTGCTAGGTTATATTACCCCAAAATAATTTTGTTGCTGTGTATGACACTAGCTTTACTAGTGAACAAAACAGTGCAGAGGCATTCTGAATTTGGGGAATGGCCTCTGGAATTCACTGGTGTGCTTGATGCTTGTATCCTTATGCCACGGAACCACACCAAATGCTGTTGTCTGTAGGACACTAACAAGAGCTTTTATGCAACTGATACCACATTTATTTGACACACTAGTTTATCCCCATGTTTGGGACAGGTGTGACTGTCACAGACTCCAGAGAAATTAGTAACTCTTCTTCCCAGAAGGTTGCTGAGACTGGCCCCTAATTTAACATGCACGGACCTGTACATCAAAAAAACCTGAAATCTGCCTGAGAATGAACAGAAAGAACTCCTCTGATTAAAAAAATGGCTTCATTTCCTCCACAGGTCTGCGCCATATAACTATCCTAAAATTGTTAGGACTTGGAGAAGATATTGGTGGCGTCTTAGAGTTGTATCCAATTAATGGTAAGTGACTTTTTCCAGTTTCTTCAGTACTACGCATGAAGGGCACTACCTACTGCTGAGTGTTTCTTTGCTGCAATTTCTTTAGAGAGATGGGTATGACTGTTTTTCTCTTTTGCTTTGTCTAAGAAATAAGACACCAAAGCAAACCACAAGTTTTCTTGGTGTTCCTGTGGTAAACATTCCATTGCTTCTTCAGGACAGAAAAGCCTGAATATCATCTGGAATTCATCTCACAACTTTATCTCCCACCTAAATATACAGTCCCAAGTACACTCCTCTGCCTGCCTTGCTGTCAAAGACAAAGGGATGTTGGTGTCTTTTACATGCTCAAGAGTTTGAAGAGAACATAATGCAGCAGCTACTCTTATACGGGTCCCTCATTCATCTTCATATAATAGTTTGGGTTGGAAAGGACCTTTTAATGCCACATGCAGGGACATTTTTCATTGGATCAGGGTGCTCAAAGCCCCATCCAATCTGCCCTTGAACACTTCCAGTGATGGGGCATCCACAACTTCCCTGGGCAACCTGTTCCAGTGCCTCATCCTAAAAACCCTCTTTCTTATATCCAGTATAAATCTACCCTGTGTCCTGTCTCTGTGAGCCCTGGTAAAAAGTCTTTCTCTGTCTTTCTTATAAGCAAGCCTTCTTTAAGTATTCCACTTGCTCCCAGCAGGATACTTCAAGTAAATCTTTGGAGATCTCGCTGTTAGGGTACATTTCAAATGCTACAGGTTCCTCCACTACCTAATCCCAATGACTGCCTCCACCAGCAGACAAAGACAGGAAGGAGCTTATTTATGCCATTGCCATTCCTACAGCTCTGTACATGAAAGCATCTTAGTCCTTCTACCACATATTGATGTCAGTCCATGCTGAAGAATGAATATGAGCAGAGGAAGCAGGTATCATACATCAACACTTTTGCAGCCTCTGCTTTTTATTGAAGGACCTCCTGACCTTGGTTATAACTATTATTTGTCAAGATCAACAGATCTCTTCAATTTACTTGTCCAATTTCCCTTTGAATTCACATTAACTTCTAGCATGTGTCCTCCTGTGAGAACTTCTCCAGATCTGCAAGGTACCTTTTCTTTTGTCCCAAGCATGGCCCTTATAGATTCAAAAACCCTTAACTCTTGGTGTGGGGGGAAAAAAAAGGTAAACACTTAATCCCTATCCATCCCTGCATCACAATCCTCTTGACCTCCTCCAAGCCATTTATTATACAGACTGCAGTCTTTACTTACTTGGTCATTTCTTAAACAGAGTTTATTCCAAACCTATGATGAACCTTGTTTCCTTTCTGACTTTTTTTCCCAGTTCTACCATTATATTATTTTTGAGGTGAGAGAACCAGAATTGCATGCAGTTTTCAAGAGGCACTCAAACAATAGGTTTCCATAGTGGCATAATTATACTTTGGTTTGGTTTTTATTATTTTCCTCATGGTTTATAACATCTGTTTTAGCTTTTGACCATTATTGAGCAGTGAACTAGCCTTTCATGAAACTCTCTTTCATAGCCCTAGGACCTCAATGCCAAGTGGTAATGATCAGACTCCACCATTTCTTATGTGGAGTTAGCAAAATTTTCACCATGTGCATCATTTTACTCCAATTTGAATAGAACTTCTTCCATCATTTTATTAACCAGTCACACATCCTTACAATGGTATTCTGCAATGCTTCACAATCATCCACTGCCCTTACTGCTCTTATCTCCATACTTCCAGTACAGTTCCCCACCTTTGTTCTCATACCTTACGTGTGTCAATTACAAAGATGTTGAACAGCACCAGTCCCAGCAGAGAAAACTGCTGAAATTCACTGGTGATCTCCCCCCAAGTCTAGGAACTAATCATTCCCTCCCACCTTGTTTCTGCCTTCCAATCAAGCTATCAAAGTTCCTTTTTGAGCATTCCAGAAATCCACATAGCTTGTATTGGCCAGATCACCCATAGCCACCTGCTTGCTGACCTCCTTTGGAGAACCTCAACAAGTCTGTAAAGACAGGATGCCACTTTGTAAGTGTCCTGTTGCCAAGTCAACTATGTGTATGTGTGCATATACATAAATATATATGTAGGGGTCCACTGATCTTATTTGTGTTATACTTTCTACTCATTTATCCAGCACAGAGTTCACACTTACAAGCATGAAGTTTGCCAGATTTGTGCCAGAATATACATTTTAAAGTGGACATGACATCTACCACACCCTGTATCTTGCATATCATGACAGTTCAATAGAGAGGCTCTATACCACCACTAGTGACCCAGCAAATTCATCCTGCAATTCTTCACATTATCACACTTCAATTCTAGTGATTTTTTCCATTATGACTTCTTTTCACATATGCTTTCTGCATTATGTGAGCCAGAAACCCAAACTGCACAGAAGCCAAAGAAGTGCATGTTTGTTGGGTGAAAAAAAAGTGTGCCACACTCTTAGTAGCTTCAGCCTATAGAATAAAGACAAGTTTTCTAAACCTAACAAAACCATTAAAAACATATCTTAAGTTTACAGTGGAGCAGTTTCATTTTGGAATCAAGAAATCCTGAATTTGTAGATGACAAGAATCTTACGTTGCCAACTATTAGGCTCTATCCTATCTCATGTTGCTAACTTGCTTACCTACCATCATCATTGCCTAAGCAAAATACCAATGCTGTTTTATGTGATCACTTTCTAGGAAGCGCTACTGTAGACCGAGAAGATATCCCAGCTAATTTGGTGAAGGACATTCGAAATTATTTCCAGATTAGCCCAGAATATTTCTCCATGCTTCTAGTTGGAAAAGACGGGAATGTCAAATCTTGGTATCCTTCTCCAATGTGGTCTATGGCGATTGTGTATGATCTGATTGATTCCATGCAGCTTCGGCGACAGGAAATGACAATTCAGCAATCACTCGGCATGCAGTGCCCAGATGATGAGTATGGTGGGTATGGTTACCATAGCTATCACCAGGGATACCAGGAAGGTTACCAAGATGACTATCGTCACCACGGAAGCTACCACCATGGATATCCATACTGAAAAGAGCAACTTAGCCTCCAACTGCCCTGTGTCTATCTTCTAATAGCTATCCAAGCAATAGGTGGTTAGTTGTGGAAAGTCTTCCCAGGCCACCTAGGTATCCATGCCTTGTTCTTCCACAGTTCAATCAAAGGACTTTGGTCATTTGCCTTCTCAAAAATGCAGAAGCCTTTACAGTGAAGCAGTTCAAACCAGTAGTACTGAAGCTTTAAACAATAAAGACTCCTTTATATTTTTAAACCTTTATAAACAAAGGGCATCAGGAGGTGCTGTTTGTACTAAAACCAAACAAAAAAAACCCCACAGTCCCAGTCCATGGACACTACCACAGGGCAGGACACAAACTGTCCAACAAATATTGCAATGCTCTTTTGAGTATTTTTTTCTAAGGAGAAAAAAATAAGTATATTTATTGGAAAGTGAGATTGCATTATGCTTATGAAAAGAAGTAAAGAATCACACTTCAGAACTTTCCCAGAAAAGAAAAATTAAGAAAGAAGCATGGGGCAGCCTCTTTGATAACAACAACAATAACAACAAAATCCTTTTGAAGTACTTTGTCTAAAAAGACACCATCCCTTCTACAGCGCGTTAACATTGTAATTAGCTGACTTTATCAATGAAAATATGAATTTATGGCCATAGCAGGATTTGTTCGAATACAACGCAATGTAAAGTTCTGAACTACAAAGCTTCCTGCATGGCCTTTTATGGTCCCTGATCTCTTAGGTCCTGCCCACCTGACAGTTAAATCCAAGTTAATGAGAGCTAAGTGGAAACAGCAACCATGGTTAGCATTGTCTGAAATACAGAAAACTGAAAAGCATTATTTTCATCAGAACAAAAGGAAAAAATTCTCATTCGCGTATATTTTAAATATGTTGTAACTAGCTCTCTATAATAATGTTTTTAATTAAACTATTGCTCTAAATTTCAAATTTCCTTCTCCCTCTTCTTCTCATACCCTCTCCCCCCTCAATGAAAAAAAAAAAATCTAGACTACATGTTTATAAAACTATAGGAGAATAATTTGCTCTGCTACTAAACCAGCTCTATTTCTGCCCCGCTTCCGGAAATGGTTTTCTTCTCCCTTCTCACTGGGTGTCTTTGAGCATTGGATCTGTTCCACCATCCTACTCCTACTGAAATCAGTGACAGGAAATGCATTCATAGCCATGCTTTCAACACCATTTGGGTGAGATTTCTATACAATTAAGACACAGCAGAAAGATTAAGGAATAAGCTGAAGTGAAGGTATTACGTAAGCCTTCACAGAGGCAGAGTTGTCCTTTCCAATGCTGAAGGCATGCTTGACCAGTCACATCTCTTATTATAATCCATGACATGGGTGTACATGCCATGTATAGGTACATGCAACAGGGCACTCGTACTAGGTTTTGCCATCACAGCAGTAGCACAGAAATAGGGGGAAGCTACAGTTCTATACTGGCCAGAGCATGTCCCACAGTTTGAGTTTTAACATTTTCCTGATTTTTTTTAAATATTTTTTTTTCCCAGATGAAAACAACTGGGTAAAACAACAAGTTCACTCAAAACCAGATACTTTCTTTAGAAACTTAGTCACAAAAAGTCAGACCTCGCTTGCCCTTCTGAATGTCACAAAGGCAGACAGATGTGGAGACGTCACAGGGCCTGGGCAGTTCCTCCTTATCTTTGCAAACGTAGTAACCTCCTGGGGCAGACTGCCCTCTGTACCACAAGTTCTAGTCAGCACAGGGTACAGCTCCCAACTTATCTCTTTGGTGACTGGAGCTAAGTGGAGGAAGGCAGACATTTGACAGAACCATTTTGAGAGGACCGCTGCCTGCCAAGAGCTTCCAAGTTCTCACTAACTGCAGCACTTCCACAGCTGAAAGCAGGGAACGGAGAAATTCAAAAAAACCAAAAAGGAGGTATAACAAGAGTCACAGAACTGAAAGGTTCTGTGAAGAAGAAAATGGGAGGTCCCATAGCTCAGTTTTAGAAAACAAGTGCTTATTGCATCAGAGTATTAAGGTCAGCTGCCTAACTTTCTTTGCCTAAAGCAAAAGCAGAGGAAAGTAGACCAGATGTCTAACAGCCACCCCCATAGACAAAAAGAAACACCTTTGGGTGTTTTCTTTCAGATGTTCATTTCTACATGAAAAACAAGTTCACAGAAAAATTAAGTCTTTAAATGAACGTCCTTTTAACTCACATTACAAATCATGGGAACTTAATGTCCTGTGCTGAGCAGGAGGAGGAGACTGTTATCTTACAAATGAGTGCAACACCTGATCCAAATTGCTTTTTATTTTTTCCCTCCTCTCCAGAATTCAGAGTTAAGTTGTACAAGTACCAAACCCAGCCTAGGCATTCAGTGGGAGTTGCATTAAAAAGACAACTCCAAACAAGCTGTCCACTTATAAGGGAGGTTGAGGTGGGCTCTTAACCAGAACTACATGTTCAAATATTCATAGAATTTGAGGAAGACTCAAGATCATTCTACATTCTGGTGCCAATTCCTGCCTTCATTAAAAACTGGCTCAGAATTACCAGAAACTTGTAGCAATGATTTAAAATCTTGATTTTGCAACCCTTTGGAAAATTAGAAGCAAAGCCTGAAGGAACACCAAGCCAAAAAATCCTTCCAACAGCAGCATATAGTTATATTGAAGACTATAAGCATTCGGCAGCTAAAATGCTCCAAATTAAGACTTCATTTTGCAAAACACAAATCAAATCTAAAGCACTGGATCTGTCCCTGCAGCATCACTCTGAAGACAGACTTACTGAGATTAAGGTCCTATTTCTACAGCTCTTAGTGGGAAAATTCCATATAATAAAGACTTTTTTCTTATACATATTTATGGGATTTGATTCAGCTCCAGGATGGCTGTTTTCATTCACGGGCTGTCTTTCAAGCACCATGGCATGTTTGCTACGTTCACAAATAGCTGAAATTAACCAAAATAAATGTTGCTTTAATTGGCTTGTTATAAACAAGAGAAACATGAACTCATTTCTCTTTCTGGGAGGTTTTGTGAACTATTTCCTCAAACCTAAAGGGATGAACATAACATCCTCAGCAGCAATTAAGTTCAAACATTTGTGAATCTGGGCTGTAAATCACAGCTTAGAAAAAGCTCCCTGCCCAATCTATTCCTTAAAGACTATATGCCAAACTAATGCTGCTCTCCAAAGTATCTCCTCATAAATTTCCTTACTGTTATTTCAAGAGAAAAATAGTAAGCTTTCCCACATGGATAGGTCAACCACCATACAGTGGAAATACTTAGATCATGCGAATCCCACTTGATTATTTGAAATGTGTAACTCTATAAAATAGCTCCTCCTCCCTGCTAACCAGGGCCACTCTCCAGCTGACAATCGTTTACAGTCACTTCCTCTAACAAATCTCACGTACACACTAAATTCAACTATTGCCATGGATAGTACATCTGTCCAGAATTGCATGGTTATACTTTTGTGCTACTTTACAGGCTTTTCTGTTGCTAAGTTGATGCAAATTCTTACCTGTTTTCAGGCAGCAGTTAACATTCCTGTTGCTGCAAAGGGGATATACAGTTCTCATCCGTTATTAAAAGAAACCTGCCTGTCCAATCCAACAGAATCTCTCCGAGACCTCCAACCTGAAGACCACAGAAAGATTTCTACATGTTAGACAGGACCAACTCCACAGTGCAAGTAAATGTTTGGATCAACAGTTGCATATTTGATATCTTTATGCAATCTAAGATTTTGGCAATTAAGCCAAGCAGGATAGCATCAGTGAAATTTATAGAGGAAAAAATCATTAAGCAGGATGGGAGTTGAAAGCAAGAACTAAGTGCACTTTATGAAATCTGCAGATCAGTTATTTCCATATCTCATTTCTCTTAAGGCAGATAATTCAGGCAAGAAGGTCAAACATGGTTTTTAAGACATTCACCTTTGGTTTGATGCTCTGTCATTAGAGGGACAAGATTGATCTCTACGTTCTGATTTAAGGCAAAGCTCTCTGGAAAAGTTCATGCAAAAAGCTACTGCTCATGTAAGTGCAAAGCAATCTAAAGCTAAGAGTACTTTCACTGTTCTTAGAAACACCTGCTGAAGTTGGGAGCTATGATTGAAAAAGACAATGAACTCAGGCAGGTATATATTGCAAAGCTGTATGTAATGGAAAAACAAAAAGAAAATGTCTTATCACAAATAAGTCTTTAATAGTTTGAGCATTACTTTCCCCTTGAAGTTTCATTTCACAAAATAGGACATCATAAACCAATGAAAAGCATGTTTCTGGAATTTACACTGAAATATGCCTTCTTATTCGTTCTATACAGATGCAAACAACTAGGATTCCTTTTGTTGAAATGGCCTACTATACAAGCACAATGAGAGCAGCTGTAAAAAATTTTTCAACCAAAACAGTAACTTCACTTTGTACAGTTATTCTTAATATAAGCTAGGAAAAGTTAATACAGAAAAAAAGTAAGAAAAGAGAATAATAATTTTAGATTCACAGTTTATAACTTGACAGTCATTGGCCACATATGGGAACAGGCTGCCCCCTCTTGACGGATCAAAGACAGGAAGTATGTTAATTAATATAGCCATGAGCCATCAATACAGTATGCATAAGTAAGCTGTTAAACACAGAGCCTGAAAATGGGGTGGCAGAGGGGAAACAAAGGCAGGACTGTCTTCAGTCCACAGAGAAATGCATCACTAACTGATTACTATACACTGTGGTATGAGGCTTTGACACTGAACTCATTGCTTATCTTCTTAAGAATTCTTTTGACAGTATCTTTCAACTATGAAAGATGCATTTTTGAAGGGAGGAAATTATAAACCAACATCTTTTCCAACATTCCGAGAGAAGAGCCTTTAGGAACATACCGAGAATCTCTTATCTGCATCCCCATTCCCTTCCCCCTTTTAAAATTCCCTGAATTATTTGGAAACTATTTTTCATCTCACTCAAACTACAATCCAGCAGATGGCTCAACAGTGACTCTGACATCACTATGCCTGGCACTCTGCAGGATGATTTCTCTCTCTACAAAATGAATGTAAGACTTTATCAGTCTGACAGGGTTGAGCAAATGGTATTACTACCTGCACCCTCTTGCTCAGTGCTCCAGATGTTGAAGGTCATCACTGTAATATTTGTTTTCAGATCGTGAACTCTGTGTAAACTAAGCCTTTCTAAATGCAAAAAGAGATCCTAGGATGCATTCATACTGTATAATATTTGTTTTATTCAAGCTCTTTCAAAGTTAGGCCACATAAGTTGCATGTAAAATTCACTATCTGCTACAAAGGCATTCCAGATTTCCATTTCCCCAGACACTGGAGACAGGCACACAACAGTCTCACACTGAAAATGTGAGGAGAACTAGTGGCTGAAGTCAGTGAAATCTATTCTGCTCTCAGTCACATCAGAGAAAATCAGAAAGAAAGGACTCCACAGGAGTCAGTACAGAGTTAAAACAGGAATGAAGACAGAATTAAGACCATTCAAACTCAAATCACATTCTAGAGATCTGCCTGTTTGAAGGATCAACATAACCTTAACCCAAACCATTTGATTTAACATACATTCACAAGTGAAAGTTTGATGAGGTTGGTTCAGAGAGACTCTTTTACTCAGCTAGGGATATGTCAATCTGAATTGCCAAAATACAATAAAACATTCAACATGCCTCATTGCTGATGAGGTTATTAGTAACATCCTAAGTCCTGAAAAGAAAACTTACTGACTTACTGGAGCATTTGTACATTGGAAGGTGCAGAAAAAACATTAATCAACACTTCTATCACATCTGCAAGGTGGAGAACAGTAATATCTCTGCTTTACTAGCCAAGGAATTCATACAGGAAGTTGCAGTGACTCACGACAGTCAACCAAAGCCTTGAAAGACATATGGTTAGAGTCCAGGACTGCCTTCCACAATGCAGCACATCACCCAGACCAGTAAGTCCAGGGTCCAAGCCTCTTCTTGTTTGCATCAGTTACAAATTTTGTTGCTTTCAGCAGATTTTGAACTCCTGATTTACATGGATAGGAAGAGTGAATACAACTCTCCATATATGGCTTCAGTGATTTCCTTATCCACTTCTGACATCCAGCCCCAAAACAGTCTCAATTTATCTGCAAGTGGGGAAAAATTACTCTTCTCTATATTAATAAAACATTAACATTCTCTCGCTATGAGTAATAACACTCCTCTGAGCCAGCCTCATGCTAGAGGGAATCTTCATCTGTATCGATGTCACTGCTTGGTTTGTTCAGTCTCTCAAATTCTTCTCCATCCTACAGGAACCAGAAGCAGAAGAGAATAACATGAGCAAAAGTCATCTTGTTATTAATACCAAAAAAATAAGACAAAAAAGAGTAAAGTTTACTTTGAAGGCATCACTTACACCAAATCAAGACCCTGTACCCTGGTAAATCTCTTACCAGTGTGTTATAATCTTGGTCTAGGATATATATAAAAAACTCATTAAAAATCCCATGTACTGTTAACTCTTTTTACCAACTCACTCCCTAAAACAGCTTGTAGCCCATTCCTTCATCAGGAAGCCTGCTCACATAATACTATTTGTTTTTAACATAACTGCTCAATCGTAAATGTTAAAATAGAGAATGCCCATTATACCAAAAATAAATAACTTTGTGTTATTTACTGTTTGTTAATCAACAGCCTAAAAAGGGACCATATGGAATTTCAGGAAAATACCTTTTCGAAGTTTAATGTTTCTTAGAATTAAACAGAGACAGCACACTCTGCTGGTTGTACCGTGTATTACAGAGCACATCTGTACACTCAGGACTAAAAGTATACAGGCATTAACCTTTCCCCTTCAGACTGACTGCTCAGCTCAGTTGAATGACATATGAGAGCAAGCCCTCCATGTCATGTTCTAGTTAAGTAGATTACTATTCAATCTAGGACAAAAAACATTAATGAGCCTGGAGGAAATGTTTTGTAGGAAAAAAAACTTATTAAAACTCTGTACTTAAACATTACCTTTTTGTCTTCAGTTATCTTTGACTGTGAAAGCATAAATTATCTTAACATCAAATATACTAACTTCTTGATGATGTAGGCTCAGCTACACAGATTTATCAGTTCTACTTAAGCACAAATATTTCCCAGGCATCAATTCCAATTTCTGGATGCCCAGGGCCAGTAAAATATTTTGGTTATAAAGGTTTCAAGAGAGCATTTGTACAAAGCTGAAGTTGCTCACAGGACTGTCTGTAGTCACAGCAGAAAAACAATGCTTAACTAGGCTTTATGAACTGAAAAAGTGGAATGTGCAAAGCAATACTCAATCAATTTAAAAGATTTTAATAAATACCAAGGGGTTTTGGTGTTTGAGTTGAGGAATCTGTCTGGTCACACGCAAAATGAATCTTCCAAACATTCTATAGCATAAATAGGGGTGAAAGAGAGAAACCAGAGGGGACAAGTACTGAAAAGCCTTACCCCACTTGACCTCTCCCATGCATCTCCTTTGACGAGTTTGCCCCTTTCCCGCAGAATGGCATATTCCAGGCCTCGTGGTTTACTGGCATTATAGATGAATATGGAGAGAAGCACTACCGGAGCTTCCAAAAAGAACTCTAGAGAAGGCCTGAAGTCAAAGATGACAAAAGAGACAGTGGTGATGATGACAGTAGTGATCTGAGCAGTCATAACATGGAACATATTGTCTCGGAACTTCAAGATGAAGGCTACAGACAGCCCCAGGAAAGCTGTGACAAATATGAGAGCCACCGAGAAGACGTTGTGCCCATAAAAGAAGCCACAATTCCTTATCTGCCTCCGGTCCTTAGTCCGCAGCCCGAGCATAAGCCCATTGAACAGCACCCCAAAAGCATAGAGTTTGCTGTTCTGCGTGAAGATGCTTTCAGCAATTTGATCCCCATCTTTCAAGATCTTCTCGTTATAGATGTTAGCCAGGGCAGAAATAAAACACTGCACTAGAATAAGCAGATGGCCCAGGCTGAGGCGGAGAGGTTTCAATGCTCCTGCCATGGTACTGGTGACATTCCACTGGAAGCTGGGAAGGAAACTTGGTGCTAAGCAGTTGCCCTTTTCCAGGCATGCTTCCTCAGGTCCAGCATAGAGAAGGCAGTGGTTAGATGGACTGAAAAACATATTGTGATGGAATCCATGCACAGCCAAGCTTTGCTGATGGCCTCCAGTTCCCAGAGTCAGGGCAACGATGGACAGGAATAAAATCACCAGAGATGCCCATTGTACCCAAGAGAGTTTTCGCCTAGGAGTAAGCAAAAAAAAGCCACCAACTTTAGAAACACAGTGGTACAAGTTAAATGACAGGAGAACAAGCTCTATAAAACACATAAAAGACATTATGCAACAGATAAGGAGACAGAGACAGGCACAAAGAAAAATCTTGGCTTTTCGGTATTGGCAGTAAAATGACAAAAGGCAGCATACTTTTCTACGGCAAGGGAGGCCCAGCCAGACAATCACAGAAATACAAAATGGAGTATTCTCTAGAGATAATTTAAGGGACATCTTTCAAGATCATGGTAGTTCTAGACACTGCCTGTTAACTTAAAAGCAACTGTTGTCTCTATGGAAACAGATGTCTGACAGATAAAAGAAAACACAGACATTCAAATAACTACCCTCTTTCTTCAGTAAACTTTCACTAGATTTCATCTTTCCCCCATGATTTTGTGCCCTTTTCTAGTATTTTACAATGGTAAATCACATAAATCTATTTATATATTTATAATTTATAATACTGCTAGAACTATTTATACTGTTTTTTCACTCAAGTAAAGGCTGTTTATCTTGGGGAAAATCAAAAATTTGCAAGATTAAGTCAATTGTTACTTCACAAGAGACATAAAACTAAACTGAGAAAAAGCGTTTCCAGTCAGACTATCAGACACTCTTTTGGTATATTAACACCTGTAGAAAAGGATCTTTGCTCTCTATTCAACACAAGTCACTTTTTCAGTAGTGTGAAGTTACTACCTGTTGCCCTGTCAGTCTTTTCTGAATCTAAATCACACCATAAAGAGCACAAATCAAGCGGAGCAGAACACACAGGACAGAGTGTCTGGTTTTTGTCACATGAGTAATGACTAGACATATAATTACTTTTTAAAACATACTACGCAGTTGATCAGAAACACATCAGTGCAGCAACCAAGGGCACAGACTTTGCCAGGTGGTGAAGCGAAGACGTTTAATGTTTTATTTTTACAGCAATATAGTTTCTCTTTTTTGATCACACGCTGTGCTCTCTACACAGATATGTTGTAGGGCCTGTCCACAGGACGAAGACGTTTAATGTTTTATTTTTACAGCAATATAGTTTCTCTTTTTTGATCACACGCTGTGCTCTCTACACAGATATGTTGTAGGGCCTGTCCACAGGACGTTACGAGCAATACAATTGGCTACATAGAAGTGTTCATGTGCCTATGTTATCCAAACATTATTATCTGTTATTTTCCTCACTAGATTTCATACCACACAAATAATACCATATAAAGACATTGTTTTACTGTTCTCAAGGCTTCCTTCCCATCACTGCAAGAACACCTGCCAAGCTCTTGCTCAGCAGCACATCTCCACAATTCCTCAGTCCCCACACATCAGGGCTGGCACAATATCGCCGAAGACACCTCTATCTTTCACTCTTAACATATCTCATGCCCTCTTATTAGATTACATTTACATTCAATTAAGAATTACAGCAGTCTGGAAAGAAGTGCTGCTAATATAAGATATAAGATTTCGTTTACTTTATTAAATATTACTTACTTTAGCACTATCCTGAAGAGAAGAGCTGTTGTTATAATGACAAAATTTGAGAAGAGTACAGCCATTGCCTAGAAAGAGAAGAAGGGGAGCAAAGTTATACTCGAGACATAGCACGGACATCAAAAGCCCACCAACTTTAAGTGTTCACCTTTCTGCAAGGTGCCAGATTGAAAAGCATCATCCTGGTACTGAACTTTCTTTTCTACCCAAGCAGAATAACACACCCCTAAAATGACATTCAGGTCCCATTCCAAAACATCAAACAAACCACAGAACCTAAATTCCACTGTAGTGGGGAAAGCTGTACTGAAACAAAGATGCGAGGAAACCAATCCAGTGGAAAACTTACTTAACAAAAAAGAAAATGGTTTAACGTCAGATCAATTCCCCAGCCAGGTTGACCAGTCAGCTGCAAAAACAGCTGTGCCAGCACAAAGGAGGAAGTTGCTCGAAAATGAAAGTATGAAAAAAACAGGGGAAGGCGAGGCTACTTCTGGGTGCAGTGCCAGCTTGCAGCATCCATGAAATCCCGGATTTAGACAAGGCTCTTGCAGAAAATAAACTTCTTTTATGTCAAGTGCATTTGCTGTATCATTTATCAAAGGTAAAGAGGTGCTCAGCTTGAATTTTCAAGACTGCAACTGTACTAAAAAATTCACCTATTTCAAAGTACAACTGAAGACAACTCTCAAGTTCCTGTCAAATTTGGGAATAGCTGTATAATAACGAGTGACCGATGGCCATGGCCATTATCCCAAGCTGGAAACTCCTTGAGGCATGGATTATCTTTTTGGTCTCTGTATTAGACACTGGAGTTACCATTAAAGAAGAGAAACTATCAGCACCAGTGGGGAAAAAGGGTTCTTTTTGAGGTGTGTGGGTGTTTCCCAAATTGTGTGTTATTCAAGACTGCCCTGTGTAGTCAGTACAAGTACAAAAATCTAGGCATCTGAACTCTTTCCTTCAATTCAGCCTTGGAGTGAGATCACTTTTTGAGACAATTTTACACAAAAACATATACGGATTGAGAATTGCAAAACACAGACTTGAACTTTCACATCTGCATTTCCACATTCCCAGTTCTGCAATAGCAGAGCCTTTTTCATTTACCAGAGGAAAAGCACAAGATCTTTTCTCATTATCTTAGTTCCACTCTATTCCAACCTACTATCTGCTGAACAGTAAGCATCATGGAACAGCATGACACAGGGTCTCAAGTAAGCTGAAGACTGACACAAGACATCTGCCTAAGAAACCACAGCTTAATTTTCTGCTTTGCAAGAGTAAAACTCAATAAATATTCAACACTGTGGAAAAAGAAAAATACTGAATAAACAACTGAATCTGGCAGAAACTACTCCAGAGAAAAAAAAAGGAGGCTTGATGCAAAATGTACAAGTATTCCATGTATACTCTGGTTTTACTTTACAGTCAAAGTCCCCCATCCAATTTCTCTGGTAACATAATATGGTCAAAAACTACAGCAGAATAGTTACAGGGCATTCATTTTGAGATGCTTTGCTACCTAAGACCTCAAGGGACCTCTGTCCTAGATGAGAAGGAGTAAGAAAAAAATTTACCAAAGATCACCATGCCACTAACTTACATGTCAACAAAAATAAATCTTACCACTAGGAAACATTAACCATTAAAGAGTATCCATAGTTATAGCTGAAGCTTCAAGCAAAAAAACCCTCATCAAAGCAACTCCATACCCCAAGCAACTGCTCATTCAGGTACAACTTAGTCCCAAACCTACTTAGTTTTTAAAGTCACACGAAACGAAGTTCAGTCAGGTATGGCTTCCTTCTTTCAAGCATCTTGCCTCTACCTCTTCCCTTTCATGGCCTTGTACTCAAGCTATTCTATCTTACAGGTATTTAGTTATCTCTTTTAATACTTGTTTACCATGATAATGTTACAATTTCAGCTAACCATCATAAAGTATATCCAGTTAAAAGATATAAGAAGCTAAGAGTTCTAAAGAAGAGGAATTTTTGAGCATGTTCTGAGCAGAGAAAGACAAGGTGTGTGGGGGTGTAAAATAAAAAAGCTGTGCCTTTTATATTAACTGAGCCAAATCAAACGGCTTAAGAAAGCAATGCTGTTTATGTAACCTTCTAAACAACAGGCTTTGCTATTGCAACCATTATAACTGAATCTCCTTCCTAAAGTAAAAAACAGAACAAACACCAAAACAACAAAAAAAACCCACACCACCAAAAAAAGCCCCACACAGCTACCCACAGAACCCAACACTTTTGCATGTTATTTTAAGATACCCGACTCTTCATTTTAATTAGATTTTTCCAGACAGGTCCTATTTTAGACTCTCGTCTGTCCCTGACAAAAATGTACACCTAGAAGGATAATATTTTAAAGAGAAATTGGGAAAGATAAGGAACAGAAACGTTTATACTTATTTTTAATGCCAAACAGGGCCAGCAACAGTATTTTATAGGAAGCACTAACCATCTGTTTCCACCTAACTTCAAACACAGATTCTTAACAAAAAACTATCTTAACAATTAAATAAAAGAAAGCACAAAAATTGTACTATTTACTGAGCATATGTAGATCCATCCAAAAGGCTGAACATAGCTAGAAGTACCGATTACATTTTGTGCTTAAACATAACTAATAAATAAATACAAAAATTAAAGTCAAACAGTTTTCTTCCTTGCCCCCTCAGTTCCTATTACACTTACTCCCTTTGTGGGATTACATTTCCTCACTTATCTTTGGCGTCACTGAGAAAAGAAAACAAGTAACGTGAAGTCACATTCAATAGAATGGTTTAGATTGGAAGGCACCTTAAAGATCACCTAGTTCCACCCACCTGCCATGGGCAGGAACACCTCCCACTAGACCAGGTTACTCAAAGCCCCATATGACCTGGCTTGAACAATTCCTGGGATGGGGCCTCCACAACTTCTCCGGGCAACCTGTTCCACTGCCTTACCACCTTCAAAGTAAAGAATTTCTTCCTGATATCTAATCTAAATCTACCCTCTCCCAGTTCGAAGCCATCACCCCTCGTAAAAAGCCCCTCCTCATCTTTCCTATAGGCCCCCTTTAAGTATTGGAAGGCTGCTATAACATCTCCCTGGAGCCTTTTCTTCCTCAGGCTGAACAACCTCAAGTCCCTCAGTCTGTCTTCAAAGAAGAGGAGTTCCATCCCTCTGATCATCTTTGTGGCCCTCCTCTGGACCCACTTCAACAGGTGCATGTCCTTCTTGTGCTGAAGACTCCAGAGCTGGATGCAGTACTCCAGCTGGAGTCTCACCACAGTGGAATAGAGGCAAAGAATCATCTCCCTCGACCTGCTAGCTATGCTGCTTTTGATGCAGCCCAGGATATGGCCGGCCTTCTGGGCTGCAAGTGTGCATTGCCAACTCACGTTGAGCTTCTCATCCACCAACACCCTCAAGTCCTTCTCCCCTGGACTGCTCAAAATCCATTTCCCCACCCAGCCTGCATTTGTGCTTGGGATTGCTGTGGCCCACATGCAAGACCCTACACTTGGCCTGGTTGAACTTCATGTGATCAGCATGAGCCCACCTCTCAAGCCTCTCAAGTCCCTCTGAATGACATCCCTTCCCTTCAGCATGTCTACTGCACCACATAGCTTGGTGTCATTGGCAAACTTGCTGAGGGTGCACTCAATCCCACCATCCAGGTCACCAACAAAGATGTTAAACAGCACCAGTCCTAGTACCAGCCCCTAAGGAATGCCACTCATCACGGGTCACCACTTGGACATCAAGCCATTGACTACAACCCTTCGAACACCAGTTCCTTATCCACTGAGTGGTCCATCCATCAAATCTGTGTCTCTCCAACTTAGAGACCAGGATGTTGTGTGGGACAGCATCAAACACAGAACCACATAATGATACAGGGTTGGAAGGGACCTCTGGAGATCATCTACTCCAACTCCCCTGCCAGAGTAAGTCCACCTAGAGCAGGTTGCACAGGAATATGTTCAGGCAGGTTTTGAAAATCTCCAGAGACAGAGACTCCACCACCTCTCTGGGCAGCCTGTTCCAGTCCTCTGCCACCCTCAAAGTAAAGAAGATCCTCCTCATGTTTAGATGGAACTTCTATGTTCAAGTTTGTGCCTGTTACCTTGTCCTGTCACTGGGCACCACTGAAAAAAGACTGGTCCCATTCTCTTGACACCTACCCTTTAAGTATTTATAGGTGTTGGCCAGATCCCCTCTCAGTCTTCTCCAGACTAAAAAAGACCCAAGTCCACATAAGAGAGATGTTTTAGGCCCCTAATCATCTTTGTCGCCCTTTGCTGTACTCTCTCCAGCAGTTCCCTGTCCTTCTTGAACTGGGGAGCCCAGAACTGGACACAGTACTACAGATATGGCCTCACCAGGGCAGAGTAAACACTTTGCGTAAGTCCAAGTAGATGATGTCTGTTGCTCTCCCCTTATTCACCAATGCTGGTCACCAAATTTGTCAGACATAACATGCCCTTGGTGAAGCCATGTTGGCGTACATAAAATGGTAGAAGCTGCACAGAAAAGTGTGGCTCAAATACTAGCAAGATAAGTAAATACATTGAAAGAGAAATACAGAGAGGGAGAAACCAGAGGAAGGAAAGCACCAAAAACCTGCCTAGTACTGAAGCAATTCAGCTTATTTCTAAATCACTTTTGATGAAGAAAATACACAGAAACTCTCCTCTACTGAGAGATGTACAATACTTATCAGTATGCAAGAGAATGGGGAGGTTGGGCTGGTCAGGTAAAGAATAATTATTTTACCTGATAATCTTGCCTTGCCAGTGTAGTCTAAGGGCAATGTTACTTACCACCAAGACATTGGAAGACAATTTATTCAATATATTCGATACTTACTGGCTGGAGGTAGGACAGTACGTAGAAGACAATCAAGTTATCCAAAAAGTAAAGAAAGGCAGGAATTGACCATTTCATGGAATTACAAAAATTCTTCCAGGAAAGACATTCAAAAGGATGATCCAAACAACCCTCTGAAAAGGAAAAGAAATCAGTAAGAAAGACATCTTTCTTATTATCAAAAGCCCATTCCGTTATAACAAAATAGTTATCACTGTTCTGTTTTCAGGAACACCGTTGGACTGACAAAATAAGGTACCACAGCCCTCTGACAACAGGGAGGACAGATCCAGGGCAGAACACACACCTAGAGCAGCAATCCTCTGTCTACAGGCATTCACCTCCTTGCTTAAGCAGAGAAAACATCAAGGAACCTGTTACCCCCATCAGACTACTTGTCCACTGGGAGCAAAAATTCAATTATCAACCATTCTTTGAGGGCAAAAAAGCACCGCAAAGTCCCCACACAATAGTGACATCATTACTGGGTATGATTTTCTGATGATTATCAATCAAATCTAGAACCAAAACAATGACACAGATGTTTAATCTGTTCATATAGCACCCAAAGGGCAGCCAGTAAAGTCAGAAATACAAAATATACCAGGAGTCATTATCTGTAGCACACAGCATGTGATCTGGGTAAAAATAGAACATATAGGAAGAAGGAAGAAAGAAAGGACAAGGCACAAAGAATGACATTTACTTATGTATTCAGGACACATGCTTTAGGAGAAAGACTGATAAATCTCAGGCTAGCACCAATTTAGGACTACACAATGTTATCTAATCCTCTTCTGAAAAACTGACACATTGAGTTCAGCGAAACTCAGACATTTGGAAGAAAAAGGAGGGGGGAGAGGGGGAAGAAAAAAAAGAAAGTAATCCGCAGTAGCAAATAAGGGTCAATACTACACCATTTAGTACAGGCATCCCTAAGACAATACTGGTGGAGGTAAAAATTTCCTCAGCTTGCCAGAGCTATTGACTGTTACATGGAGAAGTGGACAAAACCAGCACTTCAATCTAACATGTGTCTCCAGCGTCTGACACTTTCTTCCAATTTAAACGTCTGTTCACTACCATTTTGAAATCCTATGAAATTAACCTCTCATCCTTTTTACATCATCAACAGAAAAGCCAAGAAAGGGAACAGAAAAATAGCCTGCAATGTCAAACCAGTAGCTAGTGAAGCCTGACACCACTTCTTCTGAACAGCTGCCCCCAGATTTGTCTTCACAACAAAGCTACCTTGAATTCTAACACTGATATATTGCTTCTGACACTATACACACACAAAGCCTCTTCAGAAAGGTGGTGCTTTTAAATGAAAGCAGTCAGAACAACAGAACCTAAAGGCTAACCTCTGAGTTAGTGCAATTTATAAGCTTCTGTTCAGTCATGACTTCAGAGTGAGATGACTCCTATTATCCTAGCATGATACTGTGTTAAAATTCTGAAAATGTTAGACTGTGTCTTCATTACACTTTCTAATTCAACATACCTGTCCCCATTTCAGCTACTGGACAAATAATTCAAGAACACCTGAATTTACAGCACTAAGTAGAGGTAAAAAATTAAAGTTTATTTATAATTCTGCATGGAAGACATAATCCCAGTGAAATCTTACTAGCATGGAGCTGTACTCCATACAGCTACATTTGAATCTATGATTTTTTTAAAAAACCAACAAAACCCAAATAAAATCATGAAAAAAGGGGGATTTGAAGTATAGCAAATCTTAGAAAGTCAACACATTTTAGTTATTTTACATATAGGTACTTACCTTTTTTCTTAACCCATAGTGCCAATACCACACACAGGACCAGTTTTACAACTTCAGAACATATGTTCACTGTTGTAGGAAGGTAATCATATTTGTTATCTGTGGGATTCAGAAAATCATAAAGAATACACAATTAGATTCTGTCGCCTACTTTCATAATTAGAGCAAGAAACTATTTTAACCCCCCCAAGTCGGAATTTTTGCCACTTTCCATGAATGCAAAAGGCTGTATCAGCACTTTCATTATAAGTATTCCAATTTTTAGGATATACAGCTTCCTCCTTTCTGGGATGAAATCTTTCCTCGTTTGGTCCCAGTTTGTAGCAGAATATTTTTGAAGAACACAAGAACATCACTGTTTAAAAAAAAAAATTTAAATGGGGATGTTTTCCCCCAAACAACAGTATGCTGTTTTTTCCCTCACAAAAAAAAAGGCTTCCAGAATGACACAACCTCCTTCTTTTAGGATTCTTTTCTTTGTTAACATATTTTGCTAATACTTGGCAAAAGGAGAAACAGTAATAGCCAGTTATAGCATGCCCACAATGATACCACTTTTCTCCCAAATATTTCAGTCAAGACATGTACCATCAACAGTGTCTATACAACAACGTAGTCTTTGAAAATCAGCTATAAAATAATTCACCGCCTCACCTTTTGAGGGCGAATCTCCGTGTGGATCATACACTTATTTTAAAGCTATCTTAAAGTTATCACTTTATGTTAGACCAATGACTACAGAGAGATTTTCTGGTACAGAAAAACTTATCACTATTTATAGAATAGAATGTTTATGCTAAGAACCCTGCAGGTGAAGAACTAGCCTTTTGGGTATAGTTTTACTCCAAATGTCATCTTTCTCATTTGAAGCAAATTATGTTTATTGCCCAACAGCACCTTCATTGGCAGAATACTTCATCAGGAGGATTCGACTTGAGCCCAATGCAATAAAGACTCCTCCCAGCAGAAAGGTATAGATGGTTGTCTTGGAGCATAACACAAACCGGCTACAGCACTTGGTCTTCATTCTGCTGTCTTGCTGTCAGTGCCCTTTGGATGACAAGAGGAAAATAACACTATACATGGTACTTCCAGAAACTGGTTAAGCAAGGTGGTATGTGTGCGGTTTACTGCTTTGTGTTATTTTATACTAAGATGCTTACATCACGAGCCATGATCTCACTCTAAAATTATCCTTTTTTATTAAAAAAAAAAATTAAAAGAGAGAGAAAGATATGCTATGAGGACCATCAAAGGAGGATAAACAAAGTATACACAGCGACTTGGAAGGTGGCACAAAGAGGCCAGTTTGTCAGAACAGCGCATCTATGGAATACTGATTAGATAAAAGGATTAAATAAATTACACACTTTAATGCTTTTAAAAGCGTTCTTTTTCTTAATTCCAGTAAGGAAAAATCTCGCAACTGTGGAGCGCAAGCAACGCCGCTTAGAGGACCTGGCGCTCCCTCAGCGGCGGAGGCCGGGGAGGAACACTCATCGCCGGAGGCACAGCCTGAGCTCTGCCGCTGCTCTCCGCCTCCAACGCCGCCGTTACTCGGCCGAACCGTTAACGGGCCCCTAGGCCTGAAAAACCGGCTAGCAGACGGCCCCTGCGCCGAAGGAGCGGCGGGGGTGGGGGGATCCCTCTTGGGTCGGCTGCGGGCGGGACGGCCGTTAACGGCCGCAACATCCCTTAACGGCCGCCGCGGCTCGCGCCGCTCCGCCCCGGCGGGGACCGGCTGGAGCACGGCAGCCCTCCCGAAGGGGCCCGGGGCAGCCAGCTTCAAACCGCTCCCCGAGAGCCGGCTCCGCGGGGCGCGGGGACGAATGCCCACCTCACAGCGGTGGCGAGAGCGCAGCCGGTAAGCGCCGCCGAGCGCTCCCCCGTGCTGAGGGAACACACTTGCCTGGCTTCGCCGACCGGGCCGTCTGCCACGTCGCTGCCTCAGGTGGACGGCGCGGCTACAGCCAGGAGCGGAGCCGCGGCCGCGCAGGGGGGAAGAGCCGGGCTCCGAAGCAGCAGCCGCCGGTGCTCAGAGCAGGCACAGAAGCTGCGGGGAGGCCGCGCACAGTGCATTCCCCCCCACCTCACACCCGCTGCGCGCCCCCGCGCCCATCACCGAGTCCCCTGCCAGGCCCACGGGAGCGCAGCCAGCCCCGCAGCGTCCCGCACTAAAGCTCCTCACTCGCTCACCCACCGCGCCACAAATCGGGGGTGCTGCCCACCTCACACAGCCCCCCCCGCCACCTTGGCCTCACCTGGTAGGGTGGGGTGGGGTAGGGCGGGGAGGGGCGGGGCCGGGCCCCTCCCGCCCGGCAGCGCGCGCTCCCTCTCCCTCCTCCCGCCCAGCAGCGCGCGCGCGCGCGCGCCCCCTCTCATTCTCTAGTGACAGCCGGCCCGGTCCGGCCCCACCCCTCCTCGTGGCCGTTCCGGCCACGTGACCGCGGGCAACCGGGGGCTCCGCCCCAGCTCCTCCCTTTCCAGTGTGGCGGCGGCGGGGGGGGGGCGCATGCGCACTAAGAATCGTCGGCTTTCCCGCCTCGCCCCTCCTCTCTCCTCTCTCCCGCCACACGTGAGCGCCGGTGTGTCGTCACGCGTGTGCGACATGGTGGTGGGCGGGGAGGGGTGGGTGACGTAACG